GATTTCTAGAAAGAACATTTATTTAGGAATCTATACATCCTCCAGTGTGATTCTATGGCCCAATTCCAACAGAAGTAGACCCACAGTTGCAGTGGAGGACCCATAAATCCCTATGTGAAAGAAGTCGAATTTGTAAGGTTTGCTCTTATTCATATTTTCCCCTTTTCACAAGTGTCCTGCACTCCTAACTCCATGAAAGCAGAGGGCTGACAGTATAAGATAAGGCTGTATATGAATCCCTACAGGGTCCATCCATGGACCTTTCTAGCCCAGCATTATAGGAGAATGCTGTGGGGAATCCAGAGGCAGGAAATGGGTGCAACAACATCCTCCCAATAGATACTTCTGTGGTAAAAGATCCATTCCCTCCTTGCCATTCAACAATTTGACATTTAATTACTTTACAAGTCACCCCTAAACTAAGGCCATTTGTGACCATATAAAAACGCAGCACTTTTATGACAGATCCCTAAGGAATGGCACTGTTCCCATGCTTCCAGTGTTCAAATACAGTTGGACCTCCACATTTGAGAATTTCAATTTTGCAGATTTGCTTAATATGTTATCTCTAGGAATCTCTGGCGCCAAACTACATTCATTCTAAAGTGTAATAGAACTGACATTCCATTTTCAAACTGCTCTGCATACTTTATGTCTGCTCCAAGTACATTGTTACTTGCTTCTACTTAGACATCTGGTGGATGAAGGAAAAGGCAATTTCGAATCACACATTTCACATCATACAAACTCTCATCTGTAGACCAGATCTCCTCCATCTTTCCCATATCATTGTAACCATCTTCTTTAATCTGAAAAACTGGACAAAGCACTGAAGGCTTTTCTTTAGCCATGTCCAAGAGAGACTGTCATTACTTTCCCAGATCATTCCTCTGTGCCTGCTCCAAATTTAGAACTCCTTTCTCAGATGGATCATCTACACTAGTGATTCCCAAAATCTGGTCCATATTTTCAGCTTCAATCCCAGAAGCCTCAGCTGTTTTGGCCAATGATCACTGATTCTGGAAACTGAAGCCCAAAATACGTGGAAGACCAGAGTTTGGGCAACACTGATTGAGGTTTGAAACCACTTTAATTAACATGGCTAAATGATATGGAATCGTGGGAGTTGTAGTTTTACATGTTTTTTTTCTGCAAAAGTGCTGATAATTCATCAAACTACAACTCCCATGATTCCATAGCCTTGTGCCATGGTGGTGGTGTCAAGGTGCATTAATTCTACAGTATAGATGCATCTAGAGAGGCTAGACAAGCATTGACCTTACTATCTTTCTGCAAGTCGGATCTTTTTATTCTAGAAGCCCTTTGAAAATTTAATAGCAGGGGGAAGTGGACTGTTTATAATGCGCTGGACCTTTATTTGTTGTTACTATTTGTACCAATGTATATTATAAACTGGTTTAATTTTTGTTGCTAATTTAGTTGCGCTTCTGGCTAATTTAGTTGAGTTTCAAATAAGGGAAAGGCACGATTATTTGTATTACTGTTATTATTTCAGGTACTTACCTCTGTTTGGGGCTTTGCTGAACAAATCTGTTAGGAGGGAAATGAGAAAAACATTTTAAAAACACATAATATCCTTTTTAAAAACTCCTAAAAGAAATCTAGGGACAGCTTGAACATGACCCTCTGTCAGTACCCTCCTTGGTTGTTTCAGATATTTATCTTTCTTTGGGGCTTGAACGCAAGAATCTATTATAAGGAGAGATGACAAAATGATAAATCAGATTGCCAAACAACAACACGACCATCTTATACCAAGCAAATCCTGAAAGTAATTTGTTGTTATTATTATTATTATTATTATTATTATTATTATTATTATTTTACTGACACAAAAGCACAGTATGTCACAGCAAACGAGATCTATATGCTGGATTTCGTATCACAAAATCACAAGTCGAACACTTCCCAAGCATCTAGGACTGTGTGATGTATTTTCGAATGATGTGCAGATCCAAGTAAGGTGGCCTTTTGCAGTTGACAAATCGTGATTTTGTCAATGTTTATTGTTTCCAAATACCGGCTGATACCTTTTGGCATGGCACCCAGTGTGCTGATTACCACTGGGACCACCTGTACTGGTTTATGCCAGAGCCTTTGCAGTCCAATTTTGAGGTCTTTGTTATTATTATTATTATTATTATTATTATTATTATTACTACTACTACTACTACTACTACTACTATTACATTTATTTAGAACTTGCTTTTCCTCCCCTGAAGGAGACTCAAAGCAGCGTAACATAAAAGCATCAGCATAATCATTTAAAATATACAAATATGTGAAGATTAAAATGGGATTAAATATAAACAATACTAAATTCAATATGACAGCATACAATTTGATTGTTTTTCCCAAATAGTGGCTTTGTTTTGAAGTTCCATGGAACCTGCTCAATCAAAGATGATGCAGCCTGGTGCCTGCCACATGACTTCCAAATTAACTCTTTTTGGCTATTTGCTTTTTGCCAGAGAATTGATTGCTTTGGGCCCAATCTACACTCACCATTTATTGCAGTTTTAAGCAAGCTTCAAACTGCAACAGCTAGAAAATCCATGACTTTAAACTGACAAAAGTCAGGGAAAAGTCCAAAAGAAAGTCCTTAATACACATCAGCGCACTTCGATGTCAACCACATTACAAGGCGAAAGTGGTTCTGTTGAATGCGAATCACTGTTCGGACACATGCTCAGGGATATTCTTTTAAAAACATTCTCCTTGGCAATCATGGATCCTGGAACCAGTTTGAGGCCAGTTTGTCATCACCATCAAGCCCTTGACTTGATTCCAGGATGAACTATTTGATCATCGGCACTGCAAAAGCACTTTTTTCAATACCAGTTTGAAATGGACCTTAACAGTCAGTGTAGATGTGCCCCTGTTCCGGAATATAATAATTGCTTCCCTGCAGAAGGGGAAACTCCAACCTCTTTTTAAAGGGTTGCTCATAAGAAACACTTTTGTGGGGTCTTGTACCAGGAGGCTAGGGCTTAGCACAGTGGGCTAAGCTGCTATCTGCAGAAATGTTAACAGTTCCAGCCCAGCTCAGGGTGAACACTGATTGTCAGCTCCAGCTCCCTACCCACCCAGCAGATCAAAAACAGAAATGTGAACAAATAGGTACCTATTTTAGTGCGGAGGTAATAAAAGGTGCCCTTAAGGGCATGCTGATGATTCGACTGGGAGGACATCTAAGATCAACACAGCTCCTTGACATGGAAGATGGAGCAACAGCATCCCCCTCCCAATGGCTGGAGGGGAAATGCCTTTACTTCTGTTTGTGTATTGTCTGTCCCTGTTAATTGTATAACTGCATTGAATGTTTACTGTATGTCTGCTACCGAGCAAAATTCAAAGTGCTGGTCTTAACCTTTAAAGCCTTGAACAATTCCAGCCCAGATTACCTGTCCGAATGTATCTCCTGTTACGAACCATCACAAAGTTTAAGATCAGCTGGAGAGGCCCTGCTCTCAATCCTACCACCATCGCAAACACGAGAGACAGGGGCTTCTCAGTGGTGGCCCCTCATCTGGGGAACTCTCTCCCCAGTGACATCAGATTGGCTACCTCCCTCCTGTCCTTTAGAAAGAAACTCAAAACCTGGTTATGGGACCAAGCATTTGAACGATAGAGGCAGCACTTGAGAATAAGACTCAAGTGATATGAATGACAATGGACTGACCGAGACTGTGTGATTTTAAACACTTGCATTATTAATGTAATGTTTTACTGAATTATTTTAAATGTATTTTTATGAATGTGGATAGCACTGAATGAGTGCTTGCTGTGAAGCCGCCCTGCGTCCCTCCTCAGGGGTGAGAAGGACGGGGTACAAATGTACAAAACAAATAAATAATAAATAATACAAATAAAGTATATTATTGTTAAAATATATTACTCCTCACTCCCATAAATGCGGAGGACTGACTATATTCCTTCCTAATTGAACACTTTACTTCATGAAATCATGATTTCCATACTTCACCGTCCAGGATTAGCAGGCAAACCTCTCCAATGTCTTAATTCAGGTATGTTCCTCTTTCTGTCTTAGAACATTACCTGTGTTTGTGGTTTGCTCCCAAACAGCCTTGATCAGAGCTCCCTCCAGACTTTCTATTGCACAGAGAAGAGAAGAAACAAAGAGTGCAGTCATTTTCTGGACAAAAACAAACTCTCAGAATTGACACAAAATTCTTCTTATAAATTCAGAACAATTTGTTCACAATCAAACAATTAAAAATCAGAACATTATAAAAACAGTTTCAGAATGAAACAAAATTGTGAACTAAATCATTTAAAAACATTTTCCTTTTAATTAGCAAAGCAGTATTGAATATGTATACTCCACATTTTTTCATAAAAGAAATACCAATGTGGTATAGATGGACCTTATTTGAAGCTTATGCATCATCACAGTTTCTACTGTTTCACACTGATAGTTTTCTATTTATATTGTTACTAGCTTGGTGCCCCACAATGCCCAGGTTATTTGAAAAAGGCATTGTTTTTCTAAGTTTGATAATGTCTAACACTATTTATTAGAAAAAAGGCAGTCTGTCCTTTTGTTTGTTATAAATGCACCCATTAGAAAATGCATAAGGAAGTGGGTGAACTACAATTCCCAAAATTGTGGGTCAATCCTTCCCAAACCCTGCCATTATTCAAAGTTAGCCATGTTGGGTCTCTATGCCAAGCTTGGTCCAGATCCGTCATCAGCTAGGTTCAGTATTCTCTGGGTGCAGGTGAACTACAACTTCTAGATTCCCAGGGCAATCACCCCCAAACACAGCCAGTATTCACAGTTGCCCATGGTGGGTCTGTGTGGCAAGTTTGGTCCAGGCCCATCATTCATGGGGGTCACAAGGGTCTGTGGAAGTGGGTGAAGGTATTGCTAATCCCATAATATGTGATATATCCTCCCCTAACTCTCACCAGGACATAGAGTGCGTCATAGGGAGTCTGTGTGCCAAATGTGGTCCAGGTGCATCATTTGTGAGGTTCGTAGTGGTTTTTGGAAGTGAATGAAGATACTGCAAATCCCATCATCCCTGGTCCATCCTCTCCCAACACTCACCAGAACAAAACATGAAGAGCCTGTGTGGCAAGTTTGGTCCAGGTTCGTCACGCGTGGGGGTCACAGTGGTCTGCAGGACCCAAATTGGGAGAAGATATTGCTAATCCCATCATCCATGGTCTGTCCTCCTCCAAACTTCATCAGGACATATAGTGGCTCATGGAGGGGGGGGGGGTCTGTGTGCCAAGTGTGGTCTGATCTGTCATGTTTGGTGGTCACAGTGGTCTCTGGAAGTCAGTGAAGATGCTGCGAGTCCCATCATCTGTGGCAAGTTTGGTCCAGATCCATAGTTGGTTGGGTTCACAGTGCTCTCTGGATATAGGTGAACTACAACTCCTATAAATCAAGATGAATTCCCCCAAACCTAGTCATGGGGGTTCTATGTGCGAAATGTGGTCCAGGTCCATTACCATTTTACAGTGCTCTTGCCTTGATGCAGGGTGAACTACAACTTCCATCCTGTTGAGTCAGTCCCCCAAACCCCTCCAGTCTGTTTAGTTGCTGATCAATTTCTCTCTGTTTGCTGTGTGCCATAGAAAAGGATAGGAAAGGGTTAAGGGAGAGGCAGTGGGTAGGGTCATGCAAATCCTACACAAGGAAACCTGGGATGCCTGCCTGTGGTGGAGGAAACGCATCAAATCTAGGATGAAACAGTCCTCAAATGAAAGCTTTTCTTGGGTGGTTGGTATTTGGGGAGGACATTGGCAGCATTTGGGCTACATCTTCATGGAGCTCACTATAATCTGCAATGTCAGTGGAGGGAGTGCCTTTGGAGGCTCCTCAGCACTTGGAACTATAGCCTGTTTGTGGAGGCAGGAGGCTGTCTGTGTAAGTGGACACTTCCGCCACATACACACATTTTCACTTTTATTATGTGGACAGATAGATAGATAGATAGATAGATAGATAGATAGATAGATAATCTACCCAGGTTTCACAGGATCCAGAATGGAACATCAAAATTATGCTGCAGAGAATTATTATTATTATTATTATTATTATTATTATTATTAGTAGTAGTAGTAGTAGTGGTAATTATATTTGTATCCCACTTCTCTCTCAAAGAAGACTCAAAGCGGTTAACACTAAAAACCATGCAAATTAAATCCCAAAGTATACAATAGTTAAAATAGAATTAAACACAAGGCTTCTTAAAATACACAATTGAAACCATTCAAAGAATTTAAAAAACCTATCAAAACTCATAATACACAACATGTCCTGGCTCTATCTTAAAAACTTTCTTTGTTACATTTTTGGAGAAATTATACCATTATTTGTACCTTTGTAGGACTCTGATGCTTTTTGTAAAGCTGAAATCTTCTGAGAGGTAATTTTGAGTCTCTCATTCAAATCTGGAGAAACATCTGGCACATATCCTCCTAAATTCTTCTCACATCTGGAAGTGAACATGGTCAAGTTTAAGGAAAATTAACTGAACGTCAAGTTTCCATCAATCTTCTGGCAATACTGGATGTTAGACAAGGGTATATTCTGGAATGATGCCCCAATCTGCCATTTCATAGCTTGAGGTAAATTGAATAAAGATCTCATTTATTTATTTCAAATGTTAGTTGCCCTTCTATTGCTTAGCTTTCTTGGTGACTTACAAGAAAAATGCAAATCAACTCCAAAGCCCTTGTGCAAATAGAAAAAATAGCATAGAAAAAAAAAAAACAGCAAGCAACTTAACAGATAAGGGAAATAGGTATCACCAGAAGACCTAAAAATGCTCAAGAAAAAAACTGCTAAAATGCACTATAGCAGCAAAAATATAAGAATTCCTGAGCAAATAAACAAGTTTTTCCCTGGCATGAAAAAGATAAGAAAGGGATGAGACAGATTTTGTCAATTTCTTGTCATTTTAAGAAAAAAAATAAGTAGAGGTTTTCCCTGACATTAAGTCCAGTTGTGTCTGACTCTGGGGGTTGGTGCTTATCTCCATTTCTAAGCCAAAGAGCCAGTGTTGTCCGTAGACACCTCCAAGGTCATGTGGCCAGCTTGATTGCATGGAGCGCCCTTACCTTCCTGCCAAAGCAGTACCTATTGATCTACTCACATTTGCATGTTTTTGAACTGCTAGGTTGTCAGAAGCTGGAGCTAACAGTGGGACCTCAGGCCACTCCCCAGATTAAAACCGCCAACCTTTTAGTCAGCAAGTTCAGCAGGTCAGTGGTTCGACCCACTGCACCACCGGGAGTTCCACAAAAATACTTGATGTGGAAAAAGCAAAACTGACATTGGCCCATTTGTATTCTCCTATTTCACAGCAGGTTTTTGGCTTCTGTTTGTTTAAACAGGATGAACATATAAGAAAAGACTGGGGGGAAGGGGCGACTGGGGGGAAGGGGCTTTCTGGTGTAGATTCAAAGTTGCATCCCACTGTGGGGTGGTCACTTGAGGGCACATCCACACTGTAGAATTATTGCAGTTTGACAGAACTTTAACTGCTTTGGCTCAATACTATGCAATCCTGTGAGTTGTAGTTTTACAAGTTCTTTAGCCTCTTCTGTGAAAGAGTCCTAGTGAATCGTCAAAGTGCCACTCCCAAGATTCGATAGCATTGAGACATGGCAGTTAAGGTGATATCAAGCTGCACTGCATCTACAGTGTAGAGGCACAGTTGCTGGAAAAGACAACAATGCTGGGGAAACTGAAGGTAACAGGAAAACAGGAAGACACTATTACAAAAAGATTACCCCAAAAAGGAAATCAGAGCCCTGAGTTTGCAACACTTTAGCAGGGCTGTTCTTCAGTCTGATGCTGTGTGTAGCAAGCTGAATGGGCACACAGTTTGATTCTGTATAAGGTAACCGTTTTAAGACAGAAAGAATGTGATTTCTAATGACAAATGCGACTGTCATCAAAATATAAAAAGTTCTTATCTTTTCCCAGAAAACTACATGATATTATATTCAGACTGTAGTGGGATATGTACCAGGGCCACACAAGACAACAAACTGAAAGGGGCCCAGGACAGAGGGCTGGGCTTGGATCTTCCAGTGTTGGGGTGCCTTCAGTGTGGGTAGCAACATGGCCAGTGTTTTTACATAATTTAAACATGGAAAGCCTACATAAGAAATTGAAAGTGTTTGGGTGAGTCAGAAGATGGTACAAAGGTAAAAGAAATGTAAAAGACAACTGGACAGCATCAAGTCCAAAAACAGAAACACATCAGGCATGAAAAGTACAGAAGGAAACTTTCCAAATACACTCCAATAGGACTGAACCTCTCCCACTGAAATAGGTGAAATCAAAAGTGAACAGAGAAACAGTTGTATTCATACCTGATCAAGGAATTTTTGATGTCCTAAAAGGGAACAAAAAATGTAAACCGGTCATTCACAGACTGAATAAACACAGTTTTGGTCTTATCTGAGGATCTATCTACATAGGCTCAATACTCCACAGTTGGTGTGTTAAGTCGCTACTGACCATCTTTGGAGCAAACCTGCATTTTGGGAACAACTTGGAAAGCAAGACTGGGTTGGATGCAAATTAATCCACAGTCCATTTTGTCTGCCTCCACCAATCCATTTTCCTGTGTTCATTCCACTCTTTCTCCCTGTTTGTGTGGGCATCTCTGTTGATGTTGGCACAGGATGCTCATGGTGGTCAGCAAGAGAGTTTTGTGGCCATCTGGTGATGGTAATAAGGTGACAGTTTTGGCCCAACTGAACCATATAGACTCCAGCCCATCACTGCTGCAGGTTGATACTATCTACAACAATGGTGTCAAGCTTGTGGCTTTCCAAGTGTTTTGTACTTCTGCTTCCAGAATTNAGTTTGATACCTCTGAGTTTGAACCATTTCTGCTTTGGGCTGGCCGCACAATAAGCAGCAAGTGGAGATGAGGCCTTAGTTGAACATTTGTTAGACCTATATATTATCTTAAATTTTATTTTAACTCATAGCAAGGTAAGTTTGAAACCTTTTCTCCACATTGTGGAGTTTAGTGATTAGTGCATGAAGAATAAATAGATCCAGGAATTTACATTGGCTTTGATTAAAATAAATATCCTATATTGTATATGTATACGTCTAGACATTTTAGTTAAAACATTAACCCAAAAAGCTTGGCTTAATTTGTCCTCGGATGAAAAAACAAATGTTGTTTACTGCTGTAAATACTGGTAAACATCAGTTTAGTGCGACTTAACAATCAAAACAACATAAATCACTCAATAGTGGCTAACGAAGTTAAAGGCCAAGTGTAGACACTGTTGTGAATACTTCCTCCTGTGGGAGGTTTCTAGTTCAGTCAAAACTTTGTCGTTTTCCTCCTTACTTTCCTCCCTCTATCCTTTCTTTCCTCCTCCTCCTTTTCCTCCCTCTTTTCTCCCTCCCTCCCTCTCATCTTCCTCCCAACTTTGTCGTTTTCTTCTCAGCTGTATCTTGAGTTCAAATAGTAAATATTAGACTAAAGAGATACTTGTAATGTTCTTGAAGAAGCAAAAAAATAGGCGACAAGGGTTCCCGGGTTGTTTTTAACCTCGTTTCGCGAAGCTTTCCCTTAATTAAGTTTCTGTGATTTCTTCACCAAAAGCGTTAAATTTTCAATGATATCCTAAGTAGATGTTAACAGAACAACATAATAGATATGCTAAAAAAGCACCCAATCAAAGTCATTGATAATGAAAATTGTTTACAATAAACAGTTTACAGAGGACAAGGTTGTATGCACGTTGTTACTTCTCCATTACATGGATAGATAAACCTGAACTAGAAACCTCCCCACGGAAGGAAGTATTCACAACAGTGTCTACACTCAGTCTTTAACCTTGTTAGCCATTATTGAGTGATTTATGTTGTTTTGATTGTTAAGTCACATTAAACTGATGCTTGCCAGTATTTACAGCAGTAATCAACATTTGTTTTTTCATTATATATACATATCTGTGATATTAGATATCAATTTGTCCATGGGTCATTGCAAATACTGTACCTTAGGAACCATCTCCTTTTCTGAGTAGAAGGGGGAAAGGGGACAATTTACTCCATCCCAGGAGACACTAAAAGAAGCACAGATTCCCTCTATTCTCACCACCTTGGTGATGCTTCTGGCCATTTTGAATACCTAACTGGGAAATGATGGTGGTGGCCAAGAGTGGATGGCCCTTCTGCTGGCACTGGTGCTTTCCCCTCTGTGAACAGTGACCCTTGGTTTATCTATGGTTCATATAAAGATCCGTAATTTTGGCACCAAAACCAGATCTCAACTTATACATGAACATATAAGGTATTCTTTTAACTAAAGAGAAAAGTGTTTCCAATTATTTATTTAATTTTAAGACCTGGAAGGAATGTCAAACTTCACCTGCAGGAAGGCGCTGGCTGGCTGCAGACACTTCTCTTCCATCTCTGTGATCAGCAAACTGAGTTGGGAAATCTCTTCAGTGAGTTTGGCGAGGGTTTTGTCTTGCCTTCTCTCCATCTCTTTCTCCAGGTCTTCCAGCTGAGCTAAGCAGAAATGCTGTTTCTCCTCAAGGAATCTCTGCATTCCCTCAAAGAGAGATTTGATCTTCATCTTCTCAAGGTCTAACTGTGTCTGAGGAAAAATATATCCAGAGTAAAGTAAGGTCTACAGTAGAAGGGTGCATCTACACTGTAGATTTAATAAAGTTTGACACCATTTTAAGTGCCATGGTTTAATGCTATGAAATCCTGGGAGCTACAGATTTAATTTTAATGGATTGCTAAAAAAAAAAGTCTTGACATGCACAGCTAGGATGCTTTTTGAGTGCTCCCTAGAGTAGGAAAGCTAATCTTCATCCATGCAAATAACCTTTAAACATGGAACAATCAGCTTGCATTGTTGATAAAAACTGAGGCTGTAACACAACCTCCTGAAGGATGTCAAATCTAAGAAAAAACATTCCTCATTGAAGGAGTGGATTGAGCGGCTGCCCCTTAATAAACACAGCCTCACCACATGGGCCCCCAAAACAACTGTCTACCTGATAGTCTTTCCTTCTTAGCTCTTGAACATATTGCTGGTCCTTAAACTCTTCCCTCTTTTTCCTTAGAGACTCCAGATGGAGCTTGGTTTTTTCCTATAAAATAGAAAAAAAAATGTTATGCTTTCTTATGAGCTCAGTCAGTGGAGTTAAGTGGAGAACTGGGAAGAACTCAGACAGGGTTTTCTATGGCCTTCTTTTGAGACAACATGACTCACCCAAGGGTGGGTTTCCATGGCTGAGTAAGGATTCAAGCCCTGATCACCTCTAGTTCAAATCCAACATTCGCACTGCTACACGAAACTGGCTCTAATATTATAATAGTTATTGCCATGTGCCTTCAAGTCATTCTGAAAACCCAGTGACATTATAACATGTTTTTTTCCCCCTTGGCAAGATTTGTGCAGAGTGGGGTTGCCTTTGCCATCCTCTGAGGCTGAGAGAATGTGACTTGCCCACGGTCACATAATGGATTTCCATGCTCCAGTGGGGTCTTCTGAGTTTGCACACTAAGAGCAATTTCATATTGGCTCGCCATAAAAGCAGGAAAAGAGCCATACCGGACCAGACCAGAATCCCAACTAGGTAAGGTAAATAGGCTGTTCACACGGAGCATGACTTCCACAGTTAACCATGTGCCACATGGAGAAGTACTTCCTTATATGGTTTTTTTTAATCTACCACTCGGATTCCCTAGCAATATGGCCCAGGAGGGAAAGTTTCTGTCTCCTTTCCCCATGCCTTGAAATATATACAGTAGAGTCTCGCTTATCCAACATAAACGGGGCCGGCAGACATTGGACAAACTAAAATGTTGGATAATAAGGAAGGATGAAGGAAAAGCCTATTAAACCACCCTGAGTTGCCTAAGGGCTGAGAAGGGCGCTATACAAATATAGTAAATAAACAAATTAATAAATAAACTTCAAATTACGTTATGATTTTACAAATTATGCACCAAAACATCATGATTTACAACAAATCAACAGAAAAGCAGTTCAATACACAGTAATGTTATATAGTAACTACTGTATTTATGAATTTAGCACCAAAACATTGCAATGTATCGAAATAGCTGTGGATCCGAGAGGGACAGACTGTGTTGGATAATACAGAATGTTGGATGAGCGAAGGTTGGATAAGTCAGAAAATACAATATAATATAATATAATAATAATCTATATATATATAAATGCTCTCTGTGTAATGAGTACCTTAAAAGCAAAAGAACCAATTAACGAAATCACACCAAATTTGGCAACAAAACGTCTCACAACACAAGGAGTGACCATCACTCAAAAATTATGATTGTGTCATTTGGGAATTGTAGTTGCTGGGATTTATAGTTCACCTACAATCAAAGAGCATTTCTGAACTCCATCAATGATGGAATTGAACCAAACTTGGCACACAGGACTCCCATGACCAACAGAAAACACTGGAAGGGTTTGGTGGGCATTGACCTTGAGTTTGGGCGTTGTAGTTCACCTACATCCAGACCTTGACATTAGGGAGTTGTAGTCACTGGGATTCACAGTTCACCTACAATCAAAGAGCATTCTGAACCCCACGAACGACAGAACTGGGGCAAACTTCCCACACAGAACCCCCATGACCAACAGAAAATACTTAAGGCCATCCAATCCAGCTCCCTTCACCAGGGCAAGAAAACATAATCAAAGCCCTTCTGACAAAGAGCCATCCAGCCATAGATATAGATATGATTCACACACACAAAGATATAGTATCATAGATTTGAAAGGGACCCCTAAGAAGGACAATTATATGTTGCATGTTCCAGGGTGGGCAAACCAGACACTCTCCACATCAACACTGACAAAGAAACAGCAAGAAATACTGTTTACCCACAAGCATAAAGAAATTACATATATTAGAAACCAACACTTTCTCATTACTTTATTTTCCAGATCAACAGACTGGGCCACAGCAACGCGTGGCAGGGGACAGCTAGTATAATAGAATATACTAGCTGTACCCTGCCATGCGTTGCTGTGGCCTATAGTAAATCTTTTCATAGATATCTGGTCTATTATGAAAGAGAGGTACCTTCTCTCTTTCCTTCATTCCCTCCCCCTTTCTTCCTTTGCCTCCTTTCTTCCCTCCATGTTTCCTTCCTTCTTTCACTTTTTATTTGCTGTGGCCAACCTTCCCTCTTTCTCTCCTTCTTTCCCTCCTTCCTTCCTTCCTTCCCTCCTTCCTTCTCTATCTCTTTTCTTCCTTTTCCTTTTTCTTTCTCTTCTGCTGTCTCTCTTTTCTTCCTTCTCTCTTTCCTTCCCTCCCTCTTTCTCTACATCTTCCCCCTTCCTTCACTCCCTCTTTCCTTCCTTCATTCCCTTTTTTCTTTTCTCCTCTCCTTCCTTCTTTCCCCTTTTTCTTTCCCTCCCTCTTTCTCTCATTTCTTTCTTCTCTACCTCTTTCCTTCCTTCCCCCTTTTTCTTTCTCTTCTGCTGTCTCTCTTATCTTTCCTGTGGCCCAGTCTGTTGATCTGGAAAAAAAAGTAATGAGAAAGTGTTGGTTTCTAATATATATAATTTCTTTATGCTTG